TTTAAAACCCTTTTTTTAAATTTGAATTTCATTCATTATTGACGAAGATATTGTATATACAACTTTGAGCTAAAAAATACGCGATGACTTTTTACTACACCTAATATTATATTATATTATATATTGTATTAATATTATTTTATTTTATTTTTCTAATTTTTCTAATTTTATTTATTTTATTTTATTTTATTATTTTATTTTATTAATATTATATTATATTTTTATATTTATATCAAAAACACATCTATTAAATGCATTTTACAAAATGAATCTGAAATACTTTTTTTTATATAGTACGTTTACAACCATTATGCATGCGTGCGTAATATGCCCCAATTGTATTGGGTTGTTCGGAAAGTAATTTCGTTTTTTCCCAATAAAGGACTTAATTGTATTTTTCACAGCCAACTTCACACGTAAGCCGCATAATCATTATATATTTTGACAGCTGATATAGCAAGGCTTGCTTGTGAAAAAAGTTCGATTGATTCTACGCAGTAGTTTTTGGTTGGTGCCCTATCAAATATGAAAGTGAAAAGCAGCATTTTCGGCATATTTTACTTTTTTACTATCGAAAAGGTAAAAATACTGTTCAAGCAAGAAAAAAATTATCCGATGTGTATGGAGAAGATGTATTGACAGAACGCCAGTGCCAAAACTGATTTGCAAAATTTCGATCCGGCAATTTTGATGTTGAAGATGCACCACGTTCTGGAAGGCCAGTTGAAGCTGATGAAGACACAATAAAGGCATTAATTGATGCAAACCGGCGAATAACAACTCGTGAGATCGCTGAGAGATTAAATTTATCGAATCCGACCGTTCATGATCATTTGAAACGCGTCTGATTGAAAATCGTCTTTCATTTTCATAAGAAAAAACGAAATTACTTTCCGAACAACCTAATACCACCAGAAAGAAACCTGAGACAGGACATGACGGCCCAAATTTGATTCATATAATCGTGTTACACGTTATAAATGAAACGATTTAAAGACGTTGAGTGGCCGGCACTTTTACTTTTTTTTTATTTAATACAGACGGAAAAAGCTACATTTAATTTAATTCTATCCAAAATGGATCTCAACTATGCACAGCGTACACATTCTGTTCCAATTGAATCGTGCACAATAATGCACTTTGTGCATTCCTGTGTACGTTTATGTTAAAATGTGTTAAACAATTGGAAAGCATCCAAAGTAAGAGGCTCCGCACAATAAATGAAACAGAGAATAAGTATTTCAACCTATCAGAAATCATGCTGTGGAATACACAGTTTCTGATAGGTTGAAATTTTTATTCTCTGTTCTCTGTTCCCTGTTTCTTTTATTGTGTGGAGCTTCTAACAGTGCGCGTCGTCCAGGGAGTCGATTGTATATTTCGAAATGAAGTAAAAATTATGAAAGTGAGCAACTTCACTAGAATATTCATAATTCAATTGGTCATCAACTAGTGAATTTGCTCACTTTTGGCATTTTCACTTTATTTTAAGATACACAATCAACTCTCAGGACCTCTATTCTTGAAAAGTATTACATATAAAAAATTAGGGAAATATTATAGTATGCGTTACATATTGTAAGAAATTCACTAGATATGGACACAACAGAAATACCAACAGCATCAGAGTTGTGTGGTTCAGTGACAGAGCGAAAGTCTATCAACTCGGAGGAGAGACTAGGTTTAGGATTAAAACGAGGAGCGATGATATTTTTCTCTATTGTCTTCAATTGTTTATAATATACTTTACAATATAGCATTTCTCTAGTTTTTCGTATGCGATACTTTTCAAGAATAGGAATCTAGAGCGGTCACGCGCGAAATACCGGCTCCTTCCATTGTCTGACCAATCGCCGCTTTAGCTTTTAAGCGCCGCGCGTGTGAAACATAATCTTAAGTTCGAGTATAATTTTCTTTATTTCAATCCTTAAATCTAGAAGCATTAATTCTAAATTCTAATCTAGAAGTATCAATTCAATTTTTAAATTTAGAATTAATCGTAAGTTTATACTTTTTTAATTAACTTAGAAGCAAATCTGTTTTCGCACAGAATTAATTATCAACCCATTAATTAATGTTTCAATTGCTATTAAATATATATTTAATTGATTAATTTCAAGTATGTGCTTTGCGGATGCCCCTATCTTCTCGCTAACTCTCTTAATACTAATAATATAATCACCGTTAAACCATTAGCGAAAAGTGATCGCTTGTGTGAGAAAACAGTCTATCAACGCAGCTGAGTCAACAAATAAATTTATCCAGGAAAGTATAGAGGCCTTTCTCTCTGACCACTTTTTTTCCACTGGCATTCGAGAACACCAGAGAACATTTAGCCGGGTATCTCAAGGTAAGAAAACTTTTCATTCCGATAATGAAATTTGCCGCTAATGAATTGTACTTAGCATGTGTCCCACGTACCCGTGTTCGCGCACATCCATCAACGCTCAAATCTTGGCAGTTAGCCCGTATTCTACGTCGTTACATAGTGCATGTTGTGTATTTTCGCAATTTTTTTTTAGTATATAGAAAGCGGTACCATCAAATGTCTAGGGGGTCGATTGTGTATTTTGAAATAAGGTGAAAATTACAAGTGAGCAATTATTACTAAGTATTGATATATTATATAATAAATTATGAATATTAAATTAAATTATGAATATTCTAGTGAATTTGTTCACTTTCGTAATTTTCACTTTATTTCAAAATACACAATTGAGTTCCTGAATGCTATACATCCGTGTCAGAAAACGAATAGAGGAATTATCAAGGGGTCTGACGGCATTACATTCATTTGGGTCTTCCTGAAAAGATTTTCAATCTTGTAGTGTATGTTCTATATTAACTGTCACTCTACATACCGTCGCAAATTGTCCCGACTATTATACTTTTGGCACACCAGTGTGATGTTCGTCGCGCGCGACACACGATATCCAATGAGTGTATAGCTTTATCGATGTTTTCATTCTGAAGGTATATTTTCATTGCATGTCGCGTGTCGCGTGCGACGAACATCGCGCTGGTGTACCGGAGTCATTAGAAAAATTTGTCGCTTATTTAGGGAGAGCGAGAGAGCAACCATTGAATGATTCGAAATTCATTATAATCGAAATATCTAGCGCTTGTCTTTAACCAATCGGTAATTTGAACAAATTCAGCTACAACTCTCTTTGAGTCGCGGAATTACAAATTTCGCCATACTACAGCCTCAGGTTAGTTCAAAACTAGGGAACTAGCCAAGTCTTCTTGTAACACGCTACTGTAAATATTGTCTAACTGATTGGTTGATGCTTTGCTGTTTGACCCTTACTGCGTCCAATAAGGCTACAGTCCACTTGATGTTACAAATGCTTTGAAGCATTTTTTGTTTGGTTAATTAGTAAAATTCTTTTTTCTAATAGGTCAATCAAAATCTTCAATGCATTTGTAACGTCAAGTAGATCTTAAAGTGCATTTACATTTAAGCGCTAAACGTCAAGTAGCAACCAATCAGCTGGACGATACGGGCAGTGATGTAAAATATATTTTTTACACTGCCAATATCGTTTCGTTGATTGATTTCTGCTTCTGTTGCTTGACGCTTGACGCTAATAGTCGTAAGCGTTGTTGTAAGCGGTTGTAGTTGTAAATATTGACCAATCAAGTTGAATGTAAAAAGAATATTTGACAGTGATTGGTCAATTCTTATAATTACAACCACTTAAGTTTAAATAACGTAACTTTACTGTTATTTTTATTTCCGTTAGATTATGTAGACCTAAAGCAATATCCTGATTGGAATATCATCGACTTAAGTTTACAGTCTTACAGTTACTGTTACGGAATTTTGTGTGTGACAGCCCTAAAGTCTATTTTACAATAGTCGTAATGGCTTCTGCATTAGACACGAAAACGCTTGTCGCGCGGTAAAATGAAATGCAGTAACCAATAAGCACATTAGGAACTGTAAGCTTATTGGCACCACATTTTACCACGCGGCAAGCATTTCCGTGTCCAGTGTGCAGAAGCCATAAGCATAGTTGTAAGTAGTGCAGTTGTAAAAATTGACCAATCAAGTCGAATGTGAGGAGAATATTTGACTGTAATTGGTCAATTTTTGCAACTACAACTATTTACACTAACAACGCTTAGGCCGAAATCAGATTACGTATTAAAAAATGAGATTAAAGATTAAAAAAATGAAGTTTGACCAATCAGAACAAAAGGAGCCAAGATTTCTGTTTTTATTGGTGAAATTTCAATTTTTAATCTTTGATCTCAATCTTCAATGCATAGTCTGATTCCGACCTTACAACTATTGTAGAATAGGCTTAATGCATTTTTATTTAGGACCAATTGTTTCACTTTTTGGTAAATTTTACTTGTGAGATAAATCTAGTAATCCGCGCATGTGATTGAGTAATCTTGCTATTTACCCAACAGGTAAAATTGACCAAAAAGTGGAACAACTAGCCCTTGATGCAAATAGCGTTGCCAGAGAGTTGATTCACTGCACTCAATAAAAAAAGCTTTAGAGCTGTTTGCATAAAATCCTAAAATATTTGTGTATTTAAAATAAGATAGATATATATTTGACTTTGAAAAAAAAGAAAGCGAAAATATCGGTGCAAGTGATGCAAACAGATTTTTTGCAAGTGTGTAAAATTTTTAAATATAATTGGTTTATACATTTAAATCGCAGCTCATAGAAGCTGCATTTGGCAATGCAAATCTAAGACGTCGGAGTATTCTTTTTCTAGTGTACGTGACATATGCTATAATATTAGGTTAAGTAAAAAGTCATCTCGTTTTTTTAAAAGACATCTAGCAGTAAAAACCGCAATTACTTTCTTACCAACAATATAAATATATCTTGATAGAGTAAAGTTTCAGCTTTAAAAATCTCTTTTTTAAATTATACGATACGACAATTTTTAATGGAGTTATGAGCAATTAAAGTCAAAATAATTCTTTTATTTAATCCGCGATAACTCAGTAATCAAAAGTCGTAGGAATATTTAAAAAAAAAGATTTTGTAGGGAAAGTATCAAGCTTTCACGATAGGTAATCGAAAATTTTCTCAAATTCGTTTTGGACACGTTACAAATCCACAAAGTGAGAAGAAAATTTTTCGTCTCTTTCAGCTCGTAGTTTTTGGTATGTAAAAATTATCAAACTCATATAAACTTAAAAAATGTGATAAGCTTTTAAAAGTAGAGATTTCAAGCTTTAAAACCCTTTTTTTAAATTTGAATTTCATTCATTATTGACGAAGATATTGTATATACAACTTTGAGCTAAAAAATACGCGATGATTTTTTACTACACCTAATATATGAGCACTCCGACGCCTCAGATTTGCATTACCGAACGCAGCTAAAGAAACGCAAACAAGCGTCACATGCTTGACCAATCAAAAGAAAGAATTTTACGAATTGACCAATCAAAGAACGTGCCATAGAATTTGCAAAGTGACCTGCACCCAAATCCCTGGAAATAAAATTCCTATTTCGAAATCTGGTCATTTTTTGTTCTTCCTGGATTTAGTTGGCACGAAATGTTTGCGTTGCGCGTCCTGTGGCAATATGAAAACTGGAATTCTAGTTGACGATGTACCGTGGAATTGTGAGGTTCGACTGAAGGTAATAGATCGACGTTTCTACTTGTATTTGTTACATTTTTTATGTATTGTTAAATTCAAATTGCTCGAATTTTAATGTTTAACTAAACTCTTCTTATATTGCGTTTTAAAGAACGTCGGCATAGGCATAACCTTAATAATTGCTATAATTGATGTAACATGATTGATTCTGCTGTGGCATTCCAATGTCACAGAATGTTTGGTTGATTTTCGATTGTTGAACGAAAGTTCGTATTAAAAGGAAAATGCTAATTTCATTTGAACAGACGGCTCTCTTTCGAATTTTCAGAAACACGCCTGTGATGTGTTTGTTGCGCATCATACTATAAATCATTCCTGGTAAAGACGTGATTTTCTAGTATCTGCAAAATGAAATCGAGGATTATTGTCCTGAGCCTGTTTATGCTCTTTGTTATGGTGGTATCCACATCGGATACTAAAGAGCGAAAAAAGAAATCATGGAAAGACAAGGACATGATGTTCATGACGGACGCTGACGCAGAGCGTTTGCTGGAACAGTGGGAAGTATGGCCATTACGTTGTATTCTCAGATAAAACAAAATTCGTTCTTTGTCTCTATATGACTGTTATATCAATAAAACGAAAGCAATGCGAACGAACTTTTTGATTAATGTGATATCTTAGGCAAATGATGAACCCCTGGAGCCAGACGAGTTGCCGGAACATTTGCGACCTGCCCCAAAGCTAGATATATCCAAGGTAATATATCATTTTACATGAAAATCTGAAACCATAGTTTAATCCTTTATTGGCAATGTAACTTTAAAAGGCACTGTTAATTTTTTTACTATAAATTTTGATCAATTTAAATCTGTAAAGAACAAGTAAAATACAATCCAACTTCTATTATCAGAAAAGCTCATTGTTAAAGAAAAATGTTTTAACAAACATGTAAGAATTTTTTCCTATTTTTAAAATTGGTACAATAAAAATTTTGTTCTACTTCTCAAAGATCTCTATTGCTGATGAAAAGTTAAAATTTATATTGTTGGCAGATTAAGGATACACAAATATACAAATTCATTTTTGTTTTTAACTATCCATTGTAGCTAGACATAAAAAATCCAGAGAGTATGCTAAAAGCAACGAAGAAAGGAAAAGGCGTTATGATGTTCGTAGATCTTCAGTCAAATGTTTCAGAGGAGCAAGCAGATGTCATGACCCGTATCTGGCAGACTGGCCTACAAAATAACCATATCACTATGGAAAGGTACAGCATTGTTGCACCCAAGCTATCCTCAGGCACTTTAAAAGCATTCCAAGATAGAAGATTAATTAAAATATTTGAAATGTTTACTGTGCAGATATCCAATTGAAAATAAACGTTTCATATTCATGTTCCACGATGGAGCTCAGGCTATCGAGGGTAAAAATTATTTGCTACAACATCCTGAAGTGGCTCATGTCACGATCGATGGACAGTCGTATTATCCACCACTAAAGGAGGTAACGATAACGTATTGACGAAATTTTCAGGTGTTTGTAAACTTTCTTGTGTGTGAGAAATAAAAGAAACATTTGTCTCTTTCCAGGGAGAAAGCATTATAATTGACGAGTCGATGAAAAAGCCAAGTGCCAAGAAATCGAAAAAAGAGTTGTAATCTCGTGATTAATTTCTGAAACGATTTCTATTTGTCTATTTTTATATAAAAAGTATACTTTCGAGAAATATTTTTTTCTACTTTGTTTACAAAAACCAAATTATTTCTATCAAGCGTTAAGTTTACACTGTATGTTTATTAGTTTATTCGTATAATAAATAAAATATCATATACTATCTACATTCAAAAACGTATATTTTTTAACAACGCAAGATCAATTCTGTAGAGAGTGTAGGAGAGCAACAATAGCGTCATACTTGTTCATGTTCATTTGGTTGTGCTAGTCTTGCTGGTGGAAGACTCCAGTTGTCCGTCGTTCATCGCTTTGACTTCTCGTTGAAGTTCCTTCACCACCGTCGCGAGGGCATGTGGATTCACTCCATTCTCACATAGCCTGATACAGATACTCAAAGTGGTCGGATCTAGATTTGTATTCAGCAGCTTAGAGATCTGGTAGAGAGTCTGGAACGTCTTACGAGCGGCGTTCACCTGGTGATTCACAGGCTCCGGCATGCTGACTCGCTTCCGGTCCTTTCTAGAAACAAGCAAAGTTCATGTTACAATAAATGTTTTTCTGATTTGTCATCATTTTTGGAATAAATTTGATTGTGCTCAGAAGTTTTTTTAAATATAAATAACTATTAATTTGTTAAATATATATTTAATATAATATGTTTAATCATTAATTTATAATATATCCTTAATATAATAATTATATTAAAAATGTATTTAATATTTAATAATTTTTCTTTTAATATTGAAATTATTAAATATTAACAATTTAATATTTAACAGTTTACAGAATTTAATATGTGTATTATACCTAAATTTATTAATTAAGAATATATCCTTAATGAAATAGTTATATTAAGAATATTAATATAATTACATAATTACATAAAAAATTATATATGTATTTACCTAATTATTTATCTAATTATTAGTATTACAATACTATTTACAAATGTTTCCAATATTTAACGATTTAAAAAATTTATAAATTATATATAACTTTTTTAGACTGTTAAATTAAATTTAAGAATATATTTTCACAGGGAATCTCTATTATTAGTAATCACCTCTCTGCTCTTTTTCTTTGTCTGAATTGTAACTGCAAGGATCGATGTTCCAAAAATGAGACACGCTATTTGAAACAAGCTATTTTATAATTCTGAGAGAAAACGAACATCTATTAACAAAGCAATTCCATCTAAGAATTGGATGAAGAAAAATAACATCTAACGTGAATCGGAGATTATAATTTCTCTCAGGTATTTCTTACAACTAAAAACCGTTTACCTATTTAAATAAGACATTCTCTGTCCCTTTCCCTCGCGTTTCAAATACTCACTCTTCGAGGTTGGACAGCTTTATGACAAGAGATCACAAACATCCGTTGGAAAAAAGGGACTCGTCTTGTTCCCAGAAACTGAAGGCTGAAGTTTGCAGAAATGTGCAAAAACGCGATGTAAAAACATAAGTAAACACAACATTGGCTTCTTCGAGTGCACACAGATAGACCTGGGGAATAATAATAATTATTATATGTCACATGGTAGCCAACCTTTAAACATGTAACGGGAGACGATTGGCTACTGTACGATTTTTATCATTTTTTACCAAAGCCAATTGTCCGGAATGGCCGGACTGCCGTTAGTTGCTGCCAACTTCATTATGTGACGTGACAACAATTTGTGGACGGAACAAGGTACATGTTATTGAAGAAATTTTATAATTATGATTGTGACAGCGCATCAGTTGCACGATAATTAACAGATAAAAGTAAAATACATATTTTAACGCATTTGTCTTTTAAAAGGTACGTTGCAAATTTGAGGAAAAACTCGTGGAGAGAATCCTAACCTGGTCCTAGCATTTATGCACTGGAAAAAGTCTTATTGTTAATTAGAATTTTCAAATTCAATCAGAAAGATACAAATCCAGATACTCATAGTATCTAAATCTACTAAACATTTTTGTCGAGATAACCAGAAACTCTATATTGATAACCAGTATTCTGATTGATATAAGAATTTGTTTTGTTGATACAATCTGAACATTTTTTTCAAGGTAGTTCACATCTTTAAGATCAATCTAGTCTCTTGTTAATTTGCGAGTTATTTGATGAAAAAACTAAACTTTATTTATTGTTTTATTTGCTTAACTTTCATTGTTCATCGCCTATCTATTTACTAACATTTCTTTAGTTTCTAAGTTTTGTATTTCTATAGTGTGTCAGAAATTGTTTATTAGTGGAGCAACTATTAAAATGGAGGAAAATGAAGATGATAACAATGAGAGTAATAGCAACAGTAAAAAGAAGGAAGGCAAGCTTCCTTTTGGTAACAAAGAGAATGCCATTACGGTATTGAATGATCTCTTTAAACATGGACAGAATCTTCCTTTTAATAGTATTTTGGGCACGTCTATGGCCGAACGCCAATCTAAAATGGATTCAGCGCTCGAATTGACACAGACTTTCCTTAAGAATAAACCTTCGATAGTTGGCTGGTTACGTAGTAATGTATTTGAGGAATCCGAATGTAATGTACCTATGGCATTGTTATTCATCGCATTGTACGAGCAGCATTCATTGCCTCATCAGAAGGAGACAGAATGTGACTTTAGGTATGATATAGACAGCAATGCCCTTCTTTTTATTCTAAAATGTTATTGTATTGTATATATAAATTTTATGTTAATACTATTTTATTATAAAAAGTGTTTATTATAAAAATTTTCACATTAATTAAGAGTGGTCTGTTTCTTCGTACGTAAAATTGACTTATCAATATTGTATCGCTCAATATCGATGACGTTCTGGGATCAAAAATATCTTCTGTTATTTACATATTTAATTTTATTAGTTCTATTATTCTGCTAATATATATATATATGATTTTATTGATTACTTAATATATGTATATATACAAAGTATTCAGTAATAGGGATAGGACAAAATTTAAGGAGTGTGCAAGTCTAAATATTAAAATAAGATAAGATAAAATAAAAGAATATCAAAATTACGCGCGCGAATTTGACTCATGTTTTTAAATTATAAATATTTAAATTTACATGCATTAACATTTACATTATTAAGCATTATTAAGCATTTTTATGTGAATATTTAAACATTCAGAATATTTATAAAATCAAGAATAAAATTTCAATAGAGATTTTGTAAATGCCTAAATATGTGTTTGAGGCACTTTTTACATATTTGAATATTTGAACATTTATGATTAAAAAATGAAGACGAATTCGCAATTTTGTATTCTTCATTTTCACCTTATTTTTTTATGATCTAGAATCAATCCTTAAATTTTGTCTCATCTACTGTAGAGTACTCTGTATATATTTAAAATAGTATATATATAACGTATTATTTAATCAAGTCTACTTCATATCAGATACTTGAGTTTTTGAGCCCATAAAATTACTGAATAATTGATGATAATTGATGTATATTTTCAGTGAAGTATATCAGTTTCTTTATAAAATGACGACGAATCAGCCGGCACCACAACTTTCACGTAATTCCGCGATCGTATTACACAAACTATTATCAGAAATAATAGAGGAGATATGGCCAAACACACAATCGAACCTTCTGAAATATCTAAGTAAAATACATATCTATAGTAGATCACCAATTAGAAGAACATATACACGAAAAAAGTTAGTTTCTGTTATTTATATTAATCCTTGGATATCGCCTTTATGATTAGACTTCAAACTGAATTTTATAATTTTTTTCATACACTTAATTATTTAATTTATTTATACACAATGGTTTATACCATTATAAACTGCGTTTTGTCCATCTGTGTTTAATAATTGTATTGATTATTATCGAATGTGTTTTCATTATAGAATGAAATACTTTTGCATTTTTAAAAATAAAATTTTATTGTTTTTGTAATTATTTTATAATACACAGTGTGTAAACAATAATAACGCAATCAAAAAATATAAAAAAATCTTTAAATGACTTCGCATTTACGTTATATTTTTAAATGTCGGGTATCTGAGGATTAATTTTTATAGTGATATGGCTGTCTAAACAATCGTAGCATTTATTTCAGGAATGATGCCGGATAAAAGAAAATAGCAGAAAACTGTTCGTCTTAGATCTAATAAAATGACATAAATCGTAGATTTATAATCTTGAATTCTCCAAGTTTTTTAATTTGTTTTTTTGGAGTTTGTGTGAATATTCAAAATCCTCGAAAGAATTGTAAGACTTGAAAATAGATTACGATTTTATATTGTACAGTTAGTATGTTAATAATAATTATTAAGTAATAATGATTTATTACTTAAGATTGTATTATGAATTACTGAACAAAATTATATCCTATTTTACAAGGAAAATAGGTCACTTTATAAAAAACATATCTCATATAAATGCATGTATCTGTCCTTTAATTCTCTTTAATAATCTTTAAAATTAACATATACCGATATCCTCATTTCCTAATTCGCGCTAATGATATCAGGGTTAATTATTTAATATTTCCCAGGCGTCGTCTTCCGCTTTCGAGTTCCAATTCTGTTGTGCCTTATTGTCCGTTTCGAAATTGATCAATGATTCTTCTTTTCTCTCTGCCTTTGGTTGTTTTTTTGAAGTTACTGTCTTGCTCGTTTGTTTCGTGTCGTTGCCCCAATCCCAATCGCAGTTCGAGGTGTTGGAAGAATCTCCAGTGGAAATGTTGCTCCTGAAATATAAGTAAGGAATAAATTTTGAATAAATCGATTGTATTTTACTTACACAGACTTATTAATAATTAATAATTTAATAAAAGTTTATTTTTATATGTAGAAGTTTAGAAGGTACGTACTTTGAACTGGAGCTTCTTACAAGAGACGATTTTTCGTTAGAGCGATTCGATATTAAATCGTTATTCTGATACGTATCAGAGGAATACTGATATCGATCTGTGGAATCATATTGCCTTTGTTGTTCCGCTGAATTGGTCCCAGCAATATCACCCCATCCTCCCCGTCTCGTTATATCCCCAACCTGTGCATTATTTTTTTTTCTAAATTTCTCGATTCTTAATAAGACGTCTGCCTATATATGTATGCCATAATAATATTTCTAATATTTAATTTTAACGACAATTAAAAAATGAGTAATAGAACAGAAAAGCAAACGAAAGAATTTATACCTTTGTAACCAAATGATTGACCTGAGCTCCTACGTCCTCTAATAATGTGCCATCACGAACCTAATGATTGAATAGAAACAGAGAAAAACGAAATAAAAATGTCTTCAAAATAAGAATTATAAATTCGATAGCGGAATTAATTAAGATAAATAATAACACAAATAATAACGATAATTAATATATCTCACGTTTATGCTCTCAAATAAATTTATGCATGGCAATTCTAACAATCGAAAATAAATGAGTGGGTAAAAATAAATAAACAATAATGCTTTAATCCTGTTCTTCAATCTCGTTTAAAAAAAATAATTAATTTTTAGTCCCTAATTAGTTTACACTCGAGAGCCTTTCTCGAAATTTGTACACTTGCCTTTTGCGTCGCGAGTCCTCCGATCTTGATTGCATTCTCGGTAGCTTTGCTTGCTATTTTTGACGCCGAGGAAGAGAATATTGACCATCCCTGCAATAGTAAGACATAATAGATTAATTCGTTAATTTTAAATTACAGACATTTAGTGAATGGTAAAAATCATACACTCGCTAATGATGATACTGCAGTGTCGAACAATTCTTGGGACGAACTCTTGGGTGGTGGATCCATCTGATAGCCGAAGCCACCGTATTTACCACCTTGATTAGGTGGGATATTACTAAAACGATAACATTATAACTATTTCTCCTATCTTAATACACACTCCATTCTTACAATCCTATCACATTTTTCGGTTCTCATAAACTCTTCAAATATTTAAACTTATTCATTCTTTTGTTTTCCAAATCTTTATATTTCCCATTTATTTGTACTCTTAATTGTTCTATATTCTATAATATATTAAATATTGTATCATAATACCTGATATAGAAAATAAAAGCCAGACTACAGACTTACTCTGGACGATTGGCATTTTCATTCTGTTTCTTCGCAAAGAAGAATTCTGTCTGCATCTTCAGGTTATTTGAGTCCATATTTTGGTAAGAAGAGGACAGGTCGTTCTGGTACGAACATTCTTGCTTATTTTTAATGAATGTCTGAGACTGAAACTCCTTCGCTGTTGAACTGCTTGGACTCCAAGGCTCTCCTCTCGCCAATGTAGCGATCTAAGAAAAGAAAAAATATTTTTAAACGAATGAAATAACTCTAAAGGGACTCAGTGATATAAAAGTGTATGATAAATCTCTTTACCTTATCCCTGTATAATGCCGCCGCCTTTGTATTATAACGCTGTGAGATGGACATAGATTCGTCCCAGTCGGGTTGATTCTCAAAAAACTCTCGGGCGTTTCTATTGCCACCGACCTTCATCTTTTCCAGTTCTACATCCTTCCACTTGTCCATAGAGACAGAACGGACAAATGATAAGTGTACACCTAAACCACGATGCTTGCCTGAACATTCCAGGCATATCCAAATGCCATACGTCACGGATACCCATTGCGGATTGTGGCTGCCACATTCGAAACATTTCTACAAAATGCACAAGTATGTATAAATCTGACAATCATAAAGAAGTCACTTGCAAAGAGCTACTAATTAATTTCATTTTTATAATAGGTACATGTAATGAATTTTCTTAATAGGTACATATTAATGAAAAATAAATGTACTACATATCAACTCAAAACATTGAAATGTTTATTTTCTGGAAAACTGTTCTTTGAGTTATGGTTATAACAAATGAATGATATTTCAATTCTACGCAAAGTGCTGAGATAAACAATAAAAATTACATTTACCAAAAATAGAAGTTGAAATTTAAACTTTAAAAAATTTACTTTAATAAAATATTCGACTGAAATTTACCTTAAAAAGACTAAATACCTAATATTTAATCTTTGTAAAAAAAAGAGAGAAAGCACTTGATATATTTCTCATCTTGCTCTCAATCAAGCTTACATTGTTCTCGTCCTTCGGCTTTAATTCACTCAGCACTCGTCGCGTTCTTGGACTGGCCATGGTCACATCAGTTAGTTGTCAAAGGCTGAGGATTACAGTTATGTTAACAGTCGATCTAAGTTATGTAGGTCTATTTTCTAAAACTGGATCAGTACATTTATGTACTGTACAAAATGAAATGAGTATATGTTTGATATTTGGTAAAAGTAAAACAGAAAAATCCAGTGGTCTGGTACAGGAATAAAAAACAGATGCATTGAAACAGAATATTTGAAGTCTAACAATTTCCTTGCGTCTATAATTCAACATGTGGGATAAGCAAAAATAATTGAGGCGTTAGGCAAGATAAAAAATTGAGGAATGCTCTGAAAATTCCGGTTTAAATTCAACATTACGCATCAATAAAATGTCCCATAGCATGAAATATTTCAGAAATACTTTACTGCAAGATTTGAAATACTTCAGAAATTTTTCACAAAATATCTCTAAAAATATAAATACGATCAGGAAGTGCTTTTGAAATATACTTTTTCTTACAATGTTTGTATAACATTTCTAAAATATTTTTGTGAAACACTTTAACGCGACATTTTAAAATATTTTATAAATGTACACGAAAAAATATTTCTAAATATTTCAAAAAATAATTCACATAAATATTTCATGCCGTGTGACATACATAATGTACCTCGCGGCTATGATTATTAGCTTCGGTGTGAGCCGAGAAAGCAAACGGAGCAATGATTGAAACGTGGGAAATTCATCACGGCATTCCAACAGCCCTGAATTTCGGAATGCCGCGGTATCATTACGATCGTTATGCGAGTCATGCGCGATAATTGGCTAAAACGTTCACCTCGAGACTACGAAGTCATTATATCGAACAGTTCTTTCTTCCGGGACGGGAGAATCGGATCCTACGTGGACATATTGCAAAAGTCGGACACGATTTTTGTACCCTGAGAACTAAACTGCTGGAAACTGGCGACACTGGCGTTGTCGTGACTGACGTCACGCGGAGAAGTTAGGTTAGGTCATCGTCCGCGGGTGACTGCCCGGGAAATTTCTAGCTGTATGTAAGTATGATATCCTTCGTCTTTTTATCCGGTGAACAGAATTTAACTATTAATTCTATTCACGCGAAGTCTATTCTAACGAAATAGTACGGATATTGTTAATCTTAGATTAAGTTAATCGTAGTTTGATTGAAGGTGATATCGTAATAGTGAGACCTAGTTTCACAACTTATGGTTAACGCTTAACTAACCGAGGTGCAACTTATTTCTCATCTTTTTCCAATCTTAGAATTCGAAAGAGATAAAGATTAACAAGGAGAGGCTACGCTCTGCTCTTCTCCGATTTTGATCGAACTTGTAGTAATATTAGAAGAGCCTATCAAACATCTGTAAAGTCGTTCCCGCTTAGAAGCCGAGCAATGAGCATTTAAAAATATAAAAAAATCTGAAAACAGTCTAATATTTCGGAAAATATACATTTTTGAGAAAAATGTCTTAAACCAAAATGATAGAATTTAATAAGATGTATTTACTGGCTTTATTGGTTTGACCTTGGGAGGCATCGTCAATCTTGACTTGATCTTGACGATGCTACCCATTTATAAAACCAGTATAAATACATCTTATTAAACGCTATCATTTTTGTCTAAGACTTTTCTCAAAAATGCATACTTTCCGAGATATTAGATCGTTTCCAGATTTTTGCTATTTTTAAATACTCGAATCATTATTCGGCTTCTAAGGCCCATTAGCGGGAACGGCTTTACAGGTGTTCATTTGGTAGGCTCCTCTAATAAGTTTGATCAAAATCGGTGAAGAGCAGACTGTAACCTTTCCTGGTAAATTAAATCTCGGTTAAGAGTTAATCAGTTGCGAAACTGGGCCTAATGTTTATTATTTGTATAACATCCCTTTCCGATTTTCCTGTAGTTTGTAAATTTGTAAATTTGTGTATTTTCATGCGTAAAATATACTCTGGGAAGAAAAATAGTCCCCAAGCAGAACAAGTAGCGATAATGTCAAAATGACATTAAAATGAATCGGAAATAATTGAAAAATTATTTTTAATGATTATTTTGGAATTATCTTGATATCATAATAATTTCTTCTGCTTGGGTCGCTCAAATTCCGTTTTATTTTTGAAATTTTTTTATGTCGATAAGTTAGAAAATAATATAATTTAATGA